AATGCGCAATCGAATTTGTTAGCATAGTAGAAACTCGTGGATAGAATCATCAAGATACCCAGTAGATTTCTTAATTACGTTTAAGAGTCATCCCTCGTAGATGGCACCAATTGGAAATCAGTTTCAAGTATCCGGTTTCTCTATGAAGAAAAGGGTACGGTAAGCTGAAAATGGTATATTTCTTTATTTTAGAAATGAAATTACTTTGGCTCTTTACAAGAGTGATGGTAATGTGAACAAGTCATATTTAGCTGAGAACGTATGACTTCGTAAAACGACATGTGGAGCTAACTCTGTTAGATTTTTTTTGTACCGTTTCTACGTGGCTTTGGAATTTTATATGAATTGTGTATGAAGATAGGTTATGTACAAATGTGCATGTGTTCCTGCCATGTGTAGACGTTGGAGGTTCATCCTCTACCGTGTTTGCTTATGTGTGTACGCATACCTTACACACTATATTCTAAGGTTTAGTGTATGAAGGTGCATCACGGTACTCACATCCTCTGCATTTCCATCTGCTTAGCAACGAAATCCGCTTTACCTTACAATGGATAGAGTGCTTTTCTATTACTTATTGATTGCGAGATGTAGATTTATATTAAATTAATGGATGAATTTATTGTTTTGAAGCAAGAGGGCGTTTCTTAGCCTCTAAAGTCTCTTGTCGTTGCCAACTCGTAAAGTCAAAGAAATCGATACCTCACAAACCAAAGAAAAAAATATTGTATCGATTAATATTAGTTTCAACCAACTAAATCTGGCGGTGGCGGGCGGCGAAATAAATATTTGCTTAAATAAAAACAATTATTTAACTATGCAAACAATTTTAATAAAATAAACTTAAGTTCGATTAATTATTGTATATCGAGGAAAACCTGATACATAGGAATAATAAAATTTTTAACTTAAGTAAATATCTAGTTTTTTAAACTCACCTATTAACTACCCAGATAGACTTATGTGATTAAACACAACGTTCAGCAAGGTTCATAATGTGATGTGTCAAAAAATTATTTTTCATCACGCTATGAGGTATACGTAAACCTATCATATGTTTTAGTAGATATTTTGATAATTATAAACAGGTCTATCTGAGTGGTGAGAAGAATCGACCAATCTGCGTTGGATATATCCAATTTCGTAACGTTTCTTTTTTTAACCATCTTCCCTACTTCTGCCTAGGCGCTAACGACAAAAATTACACAAGACCCGACCAGAATCTTACCGCATGCCCTGTCTAGATTATAGACATTTTTAAAAGAAATTTCCTTACTACCCATTTGGGCATGTAGGATTAGCACAAAAAAACGTTTAAACTGTTTTGATATTTTTTAAATAGAAACATAAAATAAGTAATAGACATATTGGCAAAATTGTATTATTAAAACAACATTTAAAAATTACTCATGTACATTTTACTATCTGCGATGCCGTGAGCGGGATTTGAACCTGCGGTTGTCAGGATGCGTAAATTGAAAATTCTAACCTTATAGTCACTTAGCCATCGACCCGATTTGTACGTGTTGCTTCAGATAAAAGTGATAATTAATACAGTATATATGAATACCATAAAGTTTGTAGAATTCCTCTGAAAATATGATCTTTATATTGCTCATAAGTCTTAACAAATGTGTGATAGACTAAATGTGACAAACATAACTTTACGGAGTATTTTCAAGAGCATTTGTTAGGATTTAGAAAAAAGATCTTGATTTTTCAATAATTATACCAAATGTTATATTAAAATGTTTTATATTATATCAAAAAGATTTATGCCTGATTGTTGACTTTTATCGTTAGTTCATGCATTTCACAAGCACGTGCTTAATCGTTATGATTGAGCATTGCCGAAATATTTATCAGTTTGGCACACACATTGTACCAAATCGAATTTTTTTACAGTTCATTATATTCACAGTAAACAAACAGACGAATTCTGTCCTGGATGTTGATGAGGCCCAATCAATAAATTATTACTATAACAAGGATCTATCTCTACTGAATTTACAATTAGATTATTAACTCTTGGGATACTGGAGAATGTCTAGTTTGGGCTCAGATAGTCTTCCATAATTGGGTAAGAGTAAATAGTGACAGTTTAGCAATTCGGCGTATTGGCTGGTGCCACACCGGGTGTTAACTAGGTTTCGATTATTGGGGATGCCTAGTCTCAACCCTGCCGGGACCTTTTCGTTATCAAGTGATTAAGAAATGTCTACTAGGGAAACCATGTACACGTAAAATCCGTTCTGAAAACTAGCGTGATTCTACCAAGGAACTGTCACGTAAACTTAGGCTAGTACACCTTGGGAAAGAGCCAATCGCGATCTATTTTAGCGGTCGGACATAGTGGTGTAAACCACGATTGGTCCTACCTACGTGTTCATTATTAGGGATGCCTGGTCTCGGCCTGGCTGGAGCCTTTTTGTTATCGGGGAAACGACTAGGAAATTTCTACTAGGGGAAGTGCATGAATAATGAATACCTGGGATAAAAGAATTATTATATTCGTTTTCATCTAATCATATCTGATCCGATTTAAATCTTTACAAAAACTCACTATAAAAATGTAAATTCTATATAAATAATATTCTCAAAGAGTAGTTTTATTCAGAAATGGGTTCATTGAAACTATTTCAGAAAATATAATTTGTATAGAATTGTTATAGAGTATCTTTGTCAAACTTTAAATCTGACCAAATAGTAACACATTTTTCATTTGAATTTATTCCGTTTTGTGTAATTATATATAGTTATATATGATTAGGTATTATTATTTACCCGAGAGGGACAATCTCTCGTACCCATTACTCTCTTCAGAAAGGTGATTATACTTTATAGAGTTTTTCATTGCTTTATTAACATTATCTTTAGATGTTGTTTGTACAGTTAAATAAAGTAAATGCATAAAGTATGTACCAACAAACGCATTCAGGTTAACTATATTTATTGATTGTTTAATAAGAGTCTGATGACTGTAATATAAATTAATGATTGATCTATATGACAAAGTACGATAAAAATATTGCGTGTCAAGACTATTACAAGGATTTAATATAACTATACAGTTATTTAAATCAATATTCAATTTCTAACTCTATTCAAAATCTGCTTAACTGCCCTTGTGTTCTTCCATAGGTATTTCGAAGGATTGAATTAAATCGCGATGTTGAGTAGCTTATAATATCCAATTGAATAATTAGTTTATACCAACCAAAGCATATTATTTGTTATAACTATTTGGCGATTGAAATAATCATTGCTCATTCAACTCAATGCGATTTATGTTGGCTGAGTATATTTGATGAATTTAACTAAACCTTTTGTTTTTTTTTTGCTTAAACACCGAAGTTCAATTACAAAAATTTTTGATGAACCCTTGAAACATCTAAACTGTAATTGTAAAATTTGGATCTTATAACGTGCGAACCGTTAATGGTTATACAAGAATTGTTCAAGAAGAGTCTTAGAGACAGAAGGAAGTTAGAGACGAAAATTCTTAATTACTCTTGGGAAAAACTTATTTTAATAGCTTTCTCTGTTGGCATTTCCAAGTCAACGGATGGATGCGGACTCTCGAAATTTATTGCTCCTAAAGCTTTTGTATTCAAGTCGCTGTAGGTAGATACGTAATAACAGAAATGAATGTTTCGTCAAAAAGACCGTAACTGCAAGGCTTTATGTAAATGTCAGGCATTCCTTTGGCAAACTCTCTTGAATGCTTTCCCGTGTCAAATCAGACATTTCTTGACTGCTACTTGTATCATTATGTCAGTCGTTCTTCACGTTTTATCGTACTGATTATATTCTGGCTACGTTATTAACCAACTCTGACAAATATTCCCGGTTTATCTTCCGTCATTGAATTCTAAATACGATTCTCTATCTCTCACCTTAGTACGCGTTTGCTTTTTTTTAATATATCGCACTCCTGCTGCTCGGCGCCCATTGTGGCATATCGTGGCTCGTACGATTTTCTTTTTTCCCTTTTTTCATTGACAGTACTCGCTGCTTTCAACTCGAAGTGCCGGAATCGCTCAGAATTTTTCCAACTCAAATTCACACATTCTCTACGTGTATCGAGAATTCTTCAACAGGCAGGCAGATCCTTGCGCGAACAATTCGCGTACATTGCAACAGTACAAGTACAATATATGCACTCATGCAAAAGTAGAAAAAACGATTTGGAAATGGAACTCCAAGAGATGTTTCGGATATCAAGATGAATACAGCCGAAAATCGCTGAGTTATACCGGCAAATATTGCGAGGGTTGAAATATATGCAAACTCAGGCTGCAGCTTTGTTCGTGGCAATCACATTCTGTGGCAGCCATTTTTTCAAACCACATACATACAGAGTCAAACACAGGTGCTATCGTACGTCACGTTGTAGAATACCTCATGATCCGAGTTACGCGGCTGTTTGCGTGGATTAATAATTATTACTCCCTATCCATTTGCTCTAACGGTTGACATTCCAGCCAAAACTCGATCGCACCACTGGAGATGTATCATCGCAAAGCAATCTGCCAGTGAACTATTTCTTTGTGTAATTTTCAACGTTCGCCGACGCATTGTAACCTACTCTTATTCAATGAAATCATCGAACAAAGACTCACAAATTGATTACATGGCATTTCGATCGAGCCTTTGATCACAGACGCGTGTACATTACCATGGACACTGGTACTTTGGGTCCGACATTTCCGCACGGAGTATTCGCACTGGGTGAACGAATAAAAACCGTATGTGTTTTCTGGAATTATTGGTTCGTCCGAATTGATTTAGGTTCCAACGTGGCTTTGATCGTTTCTGGACGCACGTCAATCGTGACATTGTTGCTACACAAAATCGTTACGAGGGTGATTTCACGGTGCCTTTGGCGAAATTTAATTTCAAGCACCATGGCAACTGTTGCCATTGAATGTCTGAAGAAGATACAGACGGTACCTAATATACGAATATAAGGAAAGTCAGGTATAATAATAAGTACGTACCTATTTCAAGGGTTTCTCAGAATATACTCTCAGCAAAAAGCACTGAGTGGAGGAAAGCGATTCGTGGATTCAATTATCTTCAGCGATCCTTAAGCTTCCAATCGTATCGCTTGGATTTACGTTCAGAGGCTTCACTGAAAGTGTCAGATCTGGAAGACAGGACAGAGCATTAGGTGCGGGGCTATAGGTACTTTACTATACTATATTGTATAAAGAAGCACAACGGCGGAAGGAAGAGCGAGGGGAAAACCAGCGTTAGATGCAACCCCAGATATTCTCACGTGGGAGTTACTTTTCCAAGACATTTTTTTAAGTTGAATCGTAACCCGAACGGCTGCGTTATTAAAACAGTCATCCGTGCAGTAGCGTCAGCCGTGAGACAATGGTCTCAGTGCCGATTGTGAGTTCTCCAGTTCATCCCTTCTCTGTGCTGCTAGAGCCTGAATCGTGAATGGTGGCAGTGTGGATGCTGCAGGAAGCTCATTAGGCATGGCCCGAGGTATTCTAGCCCTTGGCTTTCCGTGTTTCCCTATGCAATCCTGCCTACGTGGTTCTGTCGTTTCTTCCTCATCAACAATTAGAAAACTCCTGGTTGCCACAGTTCCCACCTTCTTCGCATACCATGACACGATTATACCTGCTTCTAGTATGTGGGTACGCTCATAAACTATACCTAGGAATACATATAGTATATTATTACTTTCCTCTCGGTTTCGACTTTTTATTTTTTTTTCCAACGTATTTTACATGCCTTTCTCTTGCACAGCTTTTTATCCGAGTTTTAGCTTAGTTTTAGTTGAGCGTAGAAGGTCGCACAGAGAGGAGCAATGAGAATTCCTGAGGATACGTTGTATTGATATTGATTCACGTAATTGGACGTGGTAGATGTACTGCATTCCTGTGCTTTCGAATCCAAATTTAATATTCTCGGGGAGCAAGTTTCTCATTTTTCCCTCACAGTACCTTCTTCTTGCATTTTTCGACGGATTTCTGAGTTTGACTTTACTTAAACGAAGATAGCGTACAATTTACCTGTCCAGACCCTTTTCTATATATCTAGATTCGATACGTGCGTATCTAGTCGAGCAGCAAGAATAAATTTTCGATCCGATCTCACAAGGAGGATCGTAGAGCCGCGCATAATATTATAGCACTGCCGATGAAGCTCCCGTGGACTATTCCAGCAACTTGGGACAAGTTCAAATGCAAATAGAGCGAACAACTTGGCGGTATCGTGCAAGGAGAGTGAAGTTTGAAGTTAGTTGCGGGTTGGTATAACCTACCTAACGATTTGCCAGGTGGGGCGCGGAGTGATGTGTCGTTTACATGAGGCGTCTGAGTGGATTAGGCCAGCCGCCAGGGTTCTACGAGGCAGATTTGAATTTACCATCAAAGCTTGGAAGTGACGTCAATCAATTCCACTCGCCATCGTAAGAAAACTGGGCATCGATAAATTGCAGCAGCTTCGTTTAGGATTAATCGGAATCACCGACAGCCCAGTGGCTATTGCCTTAGCAGGACGTCCGGCGTCGGTATCGGCGTCGCTGACAGAGGGGAACGATAGGATTGTGACTGTGCAGATCTCGACACGGCAGAAAAGCAAAAACCTTTCCGATAATTAAAGACAAACACAGAGATAAACGCCTGCGGGAGATTTGAGACGCGGGAAAGCGTCAAAGATCACGATGAAATCTGGGAAAACTTTATCTACACAGCCTCTAACTCCATTTCTCTTCCAATAAGTACCCATATCTGACTTATGGATTCTCGCGTGAAGAAGTTTGTCACGACGCCTGTGTCATAGTTGAGAACGAGGAGAACGAAGGGGAGGGGAGAGAAAGTCACTGAAATAGAAAAAACTTCTATTCTGGAAGAAAAATCCTGACGGATAAAAATACGAAGGGTGAGGGACAAGTTATTTTTTTCTCTTTCTATAGAAAATTCCTGGCTTCTGGAAGCTTTCGACAAATCGTCCAATACAATTGGAATATTTTTGAGGCGAGGAACGAGGCGCAACGTCGCTACGTAGGGAAACTGAAAATGCCTGTGCGTCTACCCCGAGGCTACGTCTTCCCGGCACTGATGAGTTGCAGCTTCAAATGAATGATGCTCGTAGGGGGTAGCTTCACAATAGTGAATTTCTGAATAAGAATGTCCTCGAGTCGAGTGTCCAGGCGAAGTCGGTGAACGAGAGTTTCTACGCTAATAAGCATCCTGGTTCGCGCGAAGTCTTTATCATTCTAAATCCCATATCTGATAGAGTAAGAAGGAACAAAATTATTAAGAAACATAAACTTCCGGTGGCATCTCTGTGTTCATGTGTGTATTGCATAGTAATATAATTCCATTCACAAAGTTTCGAATTGGTTTCTTTTTAAGGGTTGAATTCATGTACCACAATTGTATCTTGATCTAATATACAACTACATCCGATGACATAACGAAAAAATTTATAACGAAGAATTATGTTATCAAGCAATTTTTATTACATCTTTAAATAAAATTTATGTATATCAAAGAATTAAATTAATACAAAAATATAATGGCGAAACCTTTTCAGTAATAATTCGATATTGTCTGTTCGGCGTGGAATCTAACCTAGTTTAATCAGTTCATCATCGGTCTAATCAGCTTGCTAGGGAGACGATTCCGCGAGGCGTGGACTGAACGATTTCACGCAAAAACTCGAAATAAAAGAAAGAAGGGAGAGAGAGAGAGAGAGACCGATCATCTGTCACCGTATTAGTTATCCTCGGATCCGCAACGATTGGGAAAGCGTAGGGCTACGCGTAAGAGTACATCGAACAAGAAAGATGGATTTATCTTGTGACGAAAACAATATAATTCCTGAGCGTCACTCACAATCGTCTAGATGCTCCTAGTATCCACAGGAACACAGTATCCTGGAATGTAGGTCCCTCAAACGGATAAGGATACGGTAAACTAGACAAAACAATACATACGATAGCACGTCTATCCTCGAGCTAGATCACGTCGTAAATGACGCTACTAGTTTTTAGAATCAGGAACCTTCCCAAAAAATGCGTTCTAATACATGCCTTAGCCTAATCCGATTCGTGGACACATTGATTTCGGTCAAGCACTCGCGATCTTCGTTTGTTTTGACGCTCTCGAAGATATAGATCCTGGCATCTTTTGCTGTTGGGTAGGTGCAGTGGTGTTTTCGGGAGGCTGGAATCGCATCCACCTCTACTCACTCGATATACGACTCTGTGCCGCTTCTACAATCCCCATATATCCTCTAATCTCGAAGATGCTCGCCGAAACTCTTGCGTAGTTGGCTCTCTTGGACTTTGTAGAAATCAAATTATTGCTGAATCTTCTTGGATTCGCTTAAGGTAGTGTGGTAGAGTGTCGCTGAAGCCAAATCAATAGCCATATATAATTTGTTAAACTCCATAAAACAAGTAGAACAATATATTAAAAATGTGAATTTAACACTAGCAAATTATAATTATTCTCATAAGTAGCTCATAATGCTCACTGAACGCGCAAATTTGCACTGTCAATTTTTCCCTAGCATTTACAGATGGGGAAAAGAGCACACGAAAGGGACAGACAGCTGTCACATGCCTTTCGTTTAAAAGTAATTTCACAATAAGTATACGGTAAATGATGCCCATTTTTTAACACATTAAAGGCGGGAGATCTTGAAGAAAGTATGCTAGGTACTAATACGACTCCCGCCTTTAATGTGTTAATAGTAAAGGTCTCATATATCAAGTTCTCTAAAAATATATTCTAATGCATAGGTTAAATTTTTAACTTTTGCGAAAGTGTTGGACATCCGACTAAATATTACTGTTTTTCCCTCAACTTTAATAATTCATATCTTTTTAACTAGACGGTAAACAAATTTTCTTTTGAGCCAATAAGCGCAGCTGATTGACCTCTTTTGATTAGCCATTAACACTGTAGGATCAACTTTATAGTATAACTCTACTGTACTAACCTCATGAACTCAAAACACTGAAGAAACGTTTTCGTAATGCCACGCGAAACGCTCTGTAACCCATAGGGCCTTACGATGTAGTAGCCAAATTCACCTACTTTAAGACGTGCATCAAAATTTCACGTCACCGCGTATACATGCCAGTATACGTCTATTAGTATACGTGCATGTATATTTATATAGACATGTTACTCTACCAAGCTATTATAATTATCTCATAATATCAATGTACATTAATATTATATATAAACTTCGAATGGCAGTTTAGACACGCAGGTGCAATTGTTTCCTTGGTATATTTTTAATGCAACGTAACGGAGTTAGTCGAAGTAATTCTTTTTTTGAGCGCCAATTACCAGCTCTTACGAGCTCTCAGATCTTGGGAACCATTACGTGCCTCAGTTGGTATACGTACGCGTATAGTAAGTCCGTTTCTGTATAACTATACTACGTATGTACATACATACGTAGCGTTCTGGCCGGCAGTAGAAAGAGGTCTCTGAGGGTCAGCCGCTACAAGTGCGAACTACCCCAACATTTTTCTGCAAGCTGTGCTTTTCTCTGGCTATTTGCTTTTTCTCCTTTCATAGCTACGTCCAGTACCTTCCTGTATTTTTTTATTTTTACCATTTTCTTTCTAGCTCATTTCACTTGAAACGCTTGACGTACGCTCAACGTACTTTACCACCATATCTTTCCTTCCTCACTGTTTGCATGTTTTATTATTTGTCGACCGAACGCGTAATAATATCTGAAACCATTTAGCGAGCAGACTGATTGTTTAACTAACAACTCCATACCACACTTACCCTTAGCAGCGGTACTCGCCCTACATCGCCCGTAGGGTGAATCCCCTTGTAGTCTCAGTAGCGGATCCACCCATATTACTTCCACCCCTTATGGTATCTATACAGTGACACACTTTTGTGTGTATACACTATATATAACGCAACGGCAAGTATATGCTGGTAAATTGACATTAGTATATCTCTGTCTAAATGTACATAATACACACATGAAGACGTGTGTGCTTCTCTTGGCAGCTCTGGAGCCGCAACACTCCAAAGCCATTATCGTTACACTCGAGGGCGGCAGACACTTCGTGAGTCTCCATTATTTTTCAAATACAAAACATTCCACGCCTCGGATGCTCACCTGTGTTAAGCTCGAATTTGT